CAAATATACTCTGTTCCACAAGAGAATTGTTTATAATTGAACGTATGACCTCGAAATATAAGCATCGTACTACAAGGCATTTACTTAGTATGTTGTCCAGTCGCCATCATTGTCGATTATAGCTCGGGCATCGTTTAGGCATACTTTCGGCGAGATTTTCCGCCATTGTTTCGAGTAGAGGCCTCCATATTTGACGGATGTGACGTGTAAATTGTTTCACATTAAATGCTCGCTTTTCTCTGAGCTTGACCTTCATTGCTGCCCATGCGTTTTCGATGGGATCAGCGTCAGACGACTGAGAAGGCCAATCCAGTGTCCTGATGCCATTTTCGCGTTTCCACTCCGTGCATGCACGACTTCGGTGCTTAGGGTCGTTATCCTCTTGAAGCACCCACAAGCTGTTATCCGAGCCAAACCATCTTCTAGCAGACTTTTATAAACAATGTTTATATATTTTGATCATCTTTTGGGCATTAAGATTGTCCGTAAACAGGTACAAAACTCCAAATCCTTGTCTACGGAAGCAACCCCAAACATGCACCTTTACCGGGTGCTTCACTGTGCGTTGGATAACGGGAACTGCACGAGGTGGCCACGCATGCCTTCTTGTACCCCAGGCCCAAAAAGAGGATTTATCCGTAAAGATAATGTCGGAGAAATCACGGTCGATATTAGCCCTCGCCCACAACAGACGCTTTTCAACATGCTTCTCGGTCAAAAATGGTTTCAACTTTGTGCACCGCCAGCCATAGTTAGCATCATATAATCGACGTCGAATTGTATTCAGGCTCACTTCCACACCCTTTTTCGCTAAAACTAACTTGGCTTTTCGTAGAGAACACCCAGGATTCTTTTTAAAGATTCTTAAAATTGCTTTGTCGTCCTTTTCCGACGTTGAGAGACGCTTGCCACGTTGGGGCAGGTCGTCAACATTTTTAACTTCCTCGTACCTTTTCACCCACTTCTTAATAAAGGACACTGACTTGCTCATGCAGCGACTGGCCGCTGCGAACGACATTTTGGGTCCTTTTGGATGATTACAGAGAAACACCGCTTCGAGGCGACTAGCGTACGCTGCACTCATTGTTATTTTTCTCACCTTCAATGCAGATAACAGCCCACGCTACTGATTTAACCTCAAAGCATGAAGCCAAGTGTTCAAACAGTTGAATCAACCGATTGTTAAACAGATGCGTCGTCTAGTAATAAAATTAGGACCGACACGCTCTTGTGGAACCGAGTGTATAATTAGATCTCAAATAAAAGAATTGTTTTCAACCTTAAGGGGCCTTTCTACCTTGTGGGATTAAAAAAATCGATATTTTTTTTTTTGCATTTTCCTTTAGTATGTAGTCTCGAAAATATGTCTACCAAATATTAAATTGAAATCCGGAAAACTAACGAAGTTATAGCCTGCTGAAATGTACCACACGCAGGTATAATAACTGGACGTAAAACTTTAAAGCTGTTTTTCTCGAAACTACATTTTTCGGCACTGCGTGCGTGATAACTAAAAAACTATTCAAGATATCAACATCAAATTTATACAGTATCTTCAGAACTGGTCTCCCTATAGCATGAACTAGGATAATTGCGATATATGCAATACTTTTTCTTTTATTAACAAAAAAGCAACCAAATATATGAAAATATTCAGTATTTTTTCGTAAAATAGCTGCCATTTTGCAATTTTTTGTTTTTTTGAAAAGATCCTAGTTCATGCTATAACCACACTCATCTATATTAAGAATATCGTTGGTTTTAGGATTTCGAATAACTTGTTCGCAAGATATCACGTACGCAGTCGGGTGCCGTTCGTAAAAACTGTTGTTTGATGATCAACAAAAACAGCGTAATCAATAGATATTATGCGTTGCAAAAATTCGTAAATATAGCTAAATATATAATAAATGTATCTACAAAATCCGGAATTAATCGCTCTTTAATAACCCGCGAAAAAAAATCACAAAGAAACGTATTTTTCATGCCTACAAGGTAGAATGGCCCCTTAATAGGGCTTTAATTTTATATTTAAATAATAGCATAGAATAGTAATTAATAGTAACTAACAATAGTATTTTTTCAATGTTACCTTGAACTCAACCTCAAAGTATTTTATTCTTTTTATAGTAAGACACTCTATTTAATGAAACCACGTGCATTTGTTTTTGGGTAATTATTTATTCAGTATAGACATATTCATGTTTTATAGAGAAATATAATATGATCGCAATAATCGTAATTTTACTATAATATATGGGAGTTGCAATTACATAAAAGCTACAAGCTAGAATTTTTGCAGCAGTGAAACATGTATGTATGTGGCAAATGTGAAACATAAAACAAACGAGTTACGAAAGCCATCTTTCTCTCTCGAAGTTCCTACAAGCATTTACCTTGGCACACATTTCTCGCACTTGCTCATAGAAATTGCACTTGATATTATAAATACCATACCAAAAACATCTATATAAACAACCAAACATCACTCTATTTTACCACAAAAGACACTTTAATTATTCTTATTTTTATATCACTGAGAAGTAATATTCTTATAAATAATGTTATATTATTATGTTATTGGCATATTTAATGAAGTATGTCACAGAGATGGATATATTTTCAGCGTTATTTCAGAATAACAATATTTCGTATTATATTTAATCATGGTCTATTGAATCATGGTTCGTAGTAGTAATTATACTTCAACACGTTCACTGTCTATGGCCCGTATATGGGTCATATCACCGTGCTATTGGATACGCCGCTGAGAGACCAGACAGTGAACGTGTTAACGATATTACGTATTATAAATAGGTGTCATAATTTTTACTTTAATAAATAAACTAATATACATTTAACAGCAGTTTGAAGGTATTTTTGCCAAACTCAACTTTGACAGGCTATAGCTACCAAAATATTTAAAATATTTATATATTTGGAAAGTATTGTGGAAACTTAATTACAACTGAAATATATTAGTTTTATTTATATATTAAATAGAAAATATAAAACACATTATTTATATGTTTGTTTAAAAATAAATCGTAAGCGTGACTCGAAATGTTTCATAAACTAGAATAATTTGTCCGAAAAGTGTTTAAAATCAGTTAAAAAATGACATTAAAATTGCGTTAAAATTGGTAATCTCATAAAATAACCACGTTTTATTCATTTACAAAAAAATATTACTAGGGTCGTGAAAGTCCCTAGCGTGTCATACCAGGATTAAGAGCAAAATACTAGTTTTTCTCAAGGTATTAAATTTTATACTTCTTTAACACCTATTTCTACTTCTGTTTGGAATTTCTATGGTCAAAATACTTGAAATTATTATTTCAAACAGTGTCAATAGTTATTTCGGTCTAGTCTTTGCACTTAATATTATATGACATTGGTTCATAAACAGTCTTTTCAATATACCTAAAATTAATAATAAAATTGCATTGTATTATATTTTAATACGATGCTCAAAAATTTGTTTGTCAATAGCTTCTTTAAAGCATTACTTACAACCTCCAGACGAGATCTGATTTAACTTTTTCTATACCTTTTTTTAATGAAAAGTAATTTTAATATTATTAAACCTGACAATTAATTCATAAAATAAGTTTTTATTTATTTACAAAAAAAATTTCACTTGGGTCGTGAAAGTCCCTAGCGTATCATGCTCAAGGGTTAAGAGCGAAGAACGAAAATTACGTTGAAATTGTACAGAGACAAATTTTACCCGCACGCGTTACGATTTTCGTCCGGACTATCGTATCTTAACAGCAGCCGTCGACGAACGAACTTTATCGTCATTCACGTTCCCCTCTGCAGATTACCAGAAACGACCATGAAACTCGCCAGTATCGCCAAAGGTTTCGCCTCGGTTTGCATCCTTTCAGCAGTGCCATGCACGCGTTTCGACGAGGTGTTAATCGCTGGTCGGAAACTACGGCAAAATTGCTTCCGTGGAATCGACACGTTCGATGGACACGAATTGGGCGCGTTTAACGAACTTCTATCGACTCACGATCTCGATTCTTGTTTCATTCAATTCGAGACTCGTTTTCTCCAACGTCCAACGCGAACTTTCGAAGAAAATTTCGAATAAGAGATCTGCGACTGAGAAAAGTGTCCAAAGAGAATCGAAGAAAGAAACATGGCGCGACATATAGTTTTTCATTGGCTGCCAGATATCTGCTGTCCCTGCTGCTCGAAGATACGGACCCACGAAAACTTGTCGCGTGCAAAAGCGTTGAAGAATGACGAGTCGCTGAACGAAACGATGCAAGATCTGAAAATGAAGGAATACATTCGAGATTCGAAGGAATTGGATGTGTCGTCGATGAGTAGCAAAGGTTCTTCGACATCTACCGTTGCGGATAATGTTGAATCCGTGGACACCAGCTTGCTAGTGGTTTCGAAAGTGGACGGAGGGAACAATGAAACGAAAAAATTTGATAAATCCTGGGAATCGTTCTCTCTTCCCGAGACATTTTCCGCGTGTCAGATAAGGAAAAAGGAACGGACGTGGTCGTCATCCTCGTCGGAGATGCGGAATCCTATATTCCCCAAGTGTAACATCAAAAAAGTTAAAACGAACCTGAGGAACGGTGTTAAGAACGGTACAAGTCGATTAACTCACGCTTTGACACTTATTAATAGATTAACAGGATATATTATACGTTAAATGAACAAATTTTAGGCAGGTTTCTAACGACTCGCTACACTGAAGGTTATCTACCTTTTCTGTTAAATAACAAACGCTTTATATACTGTCTAAAACGTTTGTATTTTCATTTCGATTTATAATATAATGGTTTCGCGCGTAACGATTAATTTCATTTTTCACGAACAGTTTCGTGTTTCGATGATGTAAAGATAGAATTTCAGTGTGTACGTACGGTGTTATAAACGCAAAGTGAAGTTCAGGGTCGTAATTTTAGTAATTATTTCACGATTGACGCGTCAGATTATCGTGCTCGATTATCTTGTGTTTTTTTGCGCCGCAGATGACGGAAGCAGCTTATCAGAAGCGTGCAGCACTCCGATTATTGGGACAGGATCAAGGACAGGCTCTAGTCACACTGTAATCGACGTAGACGATATAGAGCCCGGATTGCACTCTGGACATCTCGCGACACGAGCGTCTTTGTCCAGTCTTGGAGTAAGTAATTTGCTAATTGTCAACTTGCACGGTACAGTAACGATTTATGCATTTATAGGAAATTCCCATTCTCGAGAAAATTACAGAATGCACTTAATATGCAAAAATATAAGAAATACTTGAAGTAAGATACTATTTATTATATTTAGGGGGTGAGACAACCCTATACAAAGCTCACATTTCATTGATTCTATTAATAAATATATGAATTTGCATAAACACTCGCGATTTTGCAATGATTCTTAAAATGAACTCAAATACAGACGCGATTCGTAAATTGTATGTTTCTATCCCTTACAACTGGGAGAATCCCCCTTGGACCCAGTGAAGCATGCAAAGATATAAGAAATACTTGAAGTAAAATACAATTTATTATATTTAGGGGTTGAGATAACCCTCTATGACACTAGCATTTCATTAATTCTACTAATAGAAATAGAAATTTGCATAAAGATTCGCGGTTTTGCAATGATTCTTAAAATGAACCCAAATACAAACGTGATTCGTAAGTTGAAGGTTTCTATCCCTTTCAAAAATATAAGAAATACTTGAAATAAAATACGATTTGTTATATTCAAGGGTTGAGACAACCCTACACAAAGCTCACATTTCATAATTCTATTAATAAAAATAAAGAATACGTAAAAATCTTCTATTAATAAAAATAAAGGGTCTATAAATAAATAAATCCTCGATCTTGTAATGATTCCTAAAATGAACCTAAATACAAACGTGATTTGTAAATTGAATGTTTCTATCCCTTACAACTGGGGGGATCCCCCATGGAGCCAGTGAAGCATTCAAAAATGTAAGAAATACTTAAAGATACGAATTATTATATTTAGAAATTGAGACAACTCTCTACGAAGCTCACATTTCATTAATTCTATTAATAAAAATATGAATTTGCATAAAAGTATCTACTCATCAGTGACGTATTGATATTATTATAATTGCACCTGAGATTATTCAATATTCTCCATTTAATATAAATCAATTTAAGATTCTATTTAAAAAAACTATTTTTAATTTGGTTCATTAAAATGTAACAAACTTTAAATTGAGAATACAATTTCTAAAATAGATAATAAATTTTATAGAATGCACTTAATATGGAAAAATAAAAGAAATACTTAAAATAAGATACGATTTATTATATTTGGGGATTGAAACAACTCTCTACTAAAGCTCACATTTCATTAATTCTATTAATAGAAATATGAATTAGCATAAAGATATCTACTCATCAGTACACATATTGATATTATTATAATTGCACCTAAGATTATTCAATATTCTTTATTTAATGTAAATCAATTTAAGATTCTATTTCAAAACAGTATTTTTAATTTAGTCCATTAAATTGTAACAACCTTTCAATTGAGAATACAATTTCTAAAATAGATAATAAATTTTATAGAATGCACTTGATATGGAGAAATGTAGGAAATACTGAAAATAAGATGAGATAACCCTCTATGAAACTAGCATTTCATTAATTCTAATAATAACAGTATGAATTTGCATAAAGATTCGCAGTTTTACAATAATTCTTAAAATGAACCCAAATACAGACGTGATTCATAAATTAAATGTTTCTATCCCTTACAACGGGGGGGATTCCCCTTGGAGGCAGTGAAGCATGCAAAAATATAAGAAATACTTCAAATAAAATACGATTTATTATATTTAGGGGTTGAGACAACCCTATACAAAGCTCACATTTCATTGATTCTATTAATAAAAATAAAGAATCCTTAACAATCTGCCATTAATAAAAATAAAGAGTCCATAAAAATAAAAATAAGGAGCCTATTAGTAAATAAATCCACAATCTTGTAATAATTCTCAATATGAAACCGAAATACCGACCGTGATTCGTAAGTTGAACGTTTCTATCCCTCCCAACCAGGGGGATTCCCCTTAGAGCCAATGAAGCATGAAAGACGACATTTAAAAACGATCTGCTGATGTCGAATTTCGTCTCCGCTCTACGAAAGATGAACGTTCCAACCCCGGAGCGATGTTCATCTTAAGAATCATTACTGTACGCTGTAATAATGGAAAAATAAATTATAAACGATGTTCAAGAAAAAATTGATTTGATTAATGGAAACAAAAATCTAAAACTACACTGTTGGCCGATATTACAAATTAATTTAATTCCTCGCTTAATTATTGCTATGGTCAGAGTTGTGCTTTTCTCTTTTGCAAAATCAGCGAGTCACAAATTAAAAAAATATTTAATATTCGCAATAAAACGATGTTCAAGAAAGAATCGATTTGATTAATGAAAACAATAGTCTAGAACTACACTGTTGGCCGATATTACAAATTAATTTAATTCCTGGCTTATTTATTGCTATGGTCAGAGTTGTTGCTTTTCTCTTTTGCAAAATCAGCGAGTCACGAATTAAAAAAATATTTAATATACGCATTAAAACGATGTTCAAGAAAGAATCGACTTGATTAATGAAAACAAAAGTCTGGAACTACACTGTTGACCGATATTACAAATTAATTTAATTCCTGGCTTATTTATTGCTATGGTCAGAGTTGTTGCTTTTCTCTTTTGCAAAATCAGCGAGTCACGAATTAAAAAAATATTTAATATTCGCATTAAATCAATAGATTTACGAGTACAACGATAGACTGTTGTCAATTGGGTTTCTATAATGTGTTTGTGTATTTACTGTTAATTTCTTAGGCACGTTCGGATTCAATGGCGTCGGTTTACAGCGGGGCTGGTGAGGGACGGTGCTGCCGCTCGGTGGTCGTCACAGGGGAAGTCGAGTTCGCTTTGCAATACGATTATAAACATTTAACATTCGAAGTACACGTAACCAAATGCAAGAATCTTGCACCGGTTGACGTAAAACGCAAACGATCCGATCCGTAAGTAACCACGATCGATTAACGACCAACGATTTACCAGACTAATACTACCGATCGCATGTATCTCTAAAATTACTAACCATTTTGTTACTTCACAAATAGTTATTGCCAGTTTGTAGGACCGATCTACACGTTAGTACACATCTTTCTTAAAAATACATTCCTAGGCACATTTCATTTACGTACTTGTAACATAACACTGTTTAACAAATTAATTACTCTATTATTGGTAGATTATTTTCATCGCTCGAATAACCATGTTTTAACGATTACATTGAGACCATCAAACTGTTAATGAACATCCATTAGATTCTGACATTTGATAATAATTGCAATTGCAAGATTAGTAATTTACCATTTGAGATTGGTATTTTTCAATGAGACTACTACTACCCAAAAAATATCTGTATTAATATATTGACGTTTACGATAGTTGGAATAATAAATTATTAGAGATTAACATTCCCTTAATCAATAATAAATAATATTAATTTAGTACAATTTTCAAAGATGTTAAACGTCTAATATTCAACAAACTGAAAAAACTTTGATTATTTTGTTACGTAACAGTATAAATTATTATTTAAAAGATTATTTTAAATGGTACTGTTTTAACGGTTATTGTTATTTATTACTGTTACGGGAAAAACATTTTTATGGATTCCGAACTCCTGGAAGAGAGTAACTGTATTTCAGTTATAAAAATTGTTCCTTCTCGTTGCACTCCATATTCATTTTCTCGGGATTTTCTCGGCGAGTGGATTTATTAATGAAAAGAACAAAGCACCGAAGTTTTACAACTAAGTCGTAATAAAACTGATTTCTGATATATCCGTGATAATATCGAAATGTTTTTCATATGTTAATCATAAGATATTAAACAATTTTAAGTATTCTCTTGTCATACGTCATGCATTATACAAATGCACTACATTTTACAATTTTTCTAGTGACAAGTAATAATTTAAAAAAAACATACATCACGCTATCCACTTCTTTAACACTGTTTCTAATTTTTAAATTTGAACTGCAAATTATTTTCTAAGTTAAATCATTTTTCCTCGATAAAATGATATTAGCACTAAAAATTTTAATGGGGGATTCTAGAGGCCAAAATAAGACGAAAATCAAGAATACCAATTTGTTGATGGAGGCTTTGTTAAAAAGTTATTAACAGTTAAATTCAAAAGTTTCAAATCGTTCTAAAAAAATTATTTTCAATTGCGGGGGTCAATTACAATCATTTTTGGTGAATAGACATATCCCCAAAATCCTACCCATTTTCTAGAAAAAAATTCGAGAAGGTGCGAAACTTTTCGACGGAAAAAAAAACATTTCGAATCGATTTGCAAAAATTATTTTCGGTTGCAGGGTTTAATTACAATCATTTTTGGTGAATAGACATACCCCCGAAATCTTGCGCATTTTGGAGAAAAAAATTCATTACCGAAAATCTAATGTGAGACCAGAAATATTGCCCCAAAATTTCATGCGTATGTTTAAAGAAGCATAACTCCTGAACAGATTGGACGATTTTAAAGTTTCAAAAAACAAACTACGCATATTTTGATGGAGAATATGTAGAAGTCGCAAAAATATTCGAAAAGTTGATTCTTGACACCGTAAAATTAAAAAAACCTCCATAAGAATGGTCCGATATTCAAACGACCATAACTTCTACAATAGTGAATATATTTCATTGAAATTTAGGGAGGAGGTAGAGCTCATGGATACCTACAGGAAAGTATTAAGCAACATTTTTGTACAGCGTGAAACAAAATTACTAAAAATCAAAAACGAATTATTAAGAAAAATCGATAAGGGGAAATTTTTCGTCGAAATTGAAAAGTTTCAAATCGTTCTAAAAAAATTATTTTCAATTGCGGGGGTCAATTACAATCATTTTTGGTGAATAGACATATCCCCAAAATCCTACCCACTTTCCAGAAAAAAATTCGAGAAGGTGCCTAAATTTTTCGTCGAAATTGAAAAGTTTCAAATCGTTCTGAAAAAATTATTGTCAGTTGTGAGGGTCAATTACAATCATTTTTGGTGAACAGACATACCCTCGAAATCCTACCCACTTTCCAGAAAAAAATTCGAGAATGTGCCTAAATTTTTCGTCGAAATTGAAGTTTCAAATCGTTCTGAAAAAATTATTGTCAGTTGTGGGGGTCAATTACAATAATTTTTGGTCATTACACAAAACCCCGAAATCCTACACACTTTCGAGAAAAAAAATCGTATAGGTGGAGAAATTTTATTAATAATTTTTAACAATAATTTTGTTAATAACTTTTCAACGAAACCTCAATCAACAAATTGGTATTTTTTATATTCGTCTTATTTTGGCCTCTAGAATCTCTCACTATCACCTTGCAGAGACCCGTTAACAACGAGGTTGCGTTTATCGACGTTTTGCTGTAATGCATACGTAAATAACTTCCTTTCCCCCATATACAATTAACGCGTCTCATTTAAGCTGTCGCTACATAGAAATCATCTTTTTTTGACATAAAATATTCCACTAGATACGTGAAGGTGTACCTATTGCCGGACAAATCGAAGAGCGGCAAACGGAAAACGAAGGTGAAGAAGCACACGCTGAACCCAGAATTTAACGAAACGTTGAAGGTAAACAATCACAATGATTCCTACTTGAAGTTTTGCCTGTTCCTCGTTGTCCTGCATGACAATTAGAGTTTCGATGGTTCGCCACGACAACATTTCAGTTCCATATGAGTCTGAGCGGCCTGGAGACCAGAACGTTGTGGCTGACGGTTTGGCATTCAGACATGTTTGGACGCAACGATTTCCTCGGTGAGGTCCAAATGCCGTTGGAGAATAAGATCTTCGACGATCCGACGCCAAAATGGTATCCGCTCCAAGAAAGAGTAAGTTCACTGACGCTACTAGTTGTCGAGAGGTGGCATTGAAATCACCCAACAGTGTCGTTCAGCTCCATTTGTACAGGGAACGTTCACAAAAGTCTAGGTCAAATTGTTCATAAAAACAACCAAAGATTTAACAAACATGTAGAAAAATAATTTTATTCGATTTTATGAAATAATATTTTCTACCGCGCTTTATCGTTTAATAAACCGTTCAATTTGTATTATTTACAGTTGATATTATTACTATAATTATTCATGACGAGCACTGGTCTGGAAACTTGTATAACGGAATAATATTTTTTATTGGAAAGATAACACAATCAAATATACACGCGTGAAAACATATACGGTCTATGGAATTGCAGAACGTATTTTTAATTCTGTGTATCGAAATGGACGACATATTGAATATGTATTTGAACTTTTATTTGCTTCAATCAGTATCTATCCCTTGGGTTTAGTCTCAACTTATTTTTAGTTATATCGACTATCAAGGGGAAGGCCTTTGGGTTACCGATTTTCTTAAAACTTTACACACTTCTAGATTCAGTTATCCGGTTTAAGAATATGTTACATCACGAGGGCAAATACTCAATAATTCTACAAGTGTGCCAAGTATAACATATACAACAACACTATCGTTTCTTCGAAAATTCTGTCGAAATTTAGAGAAACTTTTGCATGGCTGAATCTTGCTAATTCTTTTCTTTTACCGCAACTTTTTAATACTTTGGTTTTGAACGATCATGCGTACGCGCAATGATCGCGTACATTATCGAATTGTGAGATAACATCGATGAAATAATTGTTCGTCGACACGTTTGCCAGTGATTTCAATGCAACCTGTGGCACAGAACAAACGAAAAAGATATTTACTGTAGATCGTGCTAGAAATGAGAGTGCGCGAGAACGCCTGGGGAGAAAGTAAGTCTGGGTTAGGTCTCAATTATTCTCTAGCACATAATTAGAGCCTCCTCCATTTATTTTTATTTACCTCAATGATCACAGTCGGCGTACTTCATTGTAGAACAGCAATCTTGCACGACCTATTACTCACACGGCAATTATTTACGTTCAGTTTTTAACCATACGCGAGAGATTCAAGTTCGAGCAATGGCATGGTCGATGAAAGTTATTTGAAGAGAGCGTGTTCCCGTGGAAGAATTAACAGTTTAACTGCATGTGTAAGGAACATGAAAATCTTACATCGAGAGATTATATTTATTATAATTCCTTCGCGTAACCTAGTACGAGTAACTAAATGGTAAATTATCTAACGTAAATTTTATATATCCCCATCGATATATTATCTTATCAGTTGTTACTAACTGGGGTGTTGCAAAATATTTAAAATGAGTTTCAAAGTATTGTTTTTGAATCTATCGTGAAGACTTTTATCAACAAACTGTATATTGACCTGACGAGAAAAAATTTCTACCTTTGTACAGTATTCGTTGAAAATTATTTCACCGAGTGATTATTCCTCCAGTTCAAATGGAAAATATTCTTTGCGATTCCAATGCTCACGTGTTGAAATGTGTTTGATTCATTTGAGGATTTATAAACTGAATTTTTTTTCTTATGTACATATTTTTACATAGAAATGCATGTATGCAGGGTGTTCGGCTACTTCTGGGAAAAATTTTTATGCGAGATTCTAGAGGCCAAAATAACATGAAAATCAAGAATATCAATTTATTAACAATTAAATTCAAAAATTTCAAATCCTTCTGGAAAAATTATCTTCGGTTGCGGGGGCCAATTATAATCATTTTTGATGAATACACATATCCCCGAAATCCTAACCACTTTTTAGAAAAAAATTCGAGAATGTGTAAAATTTTTCGGCGAAGAAACAATTTTTCGAATCGTTCTAAAAAAATTATTTTCAGTTGTGGGGGTCAATTACAACAATTTTTGGTCATTACACATACCCCCGAAATCCTACGCACTTTCGAGCAAAAAAATTCGAGAAGGTATGAAATTATTCGACGAGAAAAAAAAAATTTCAAATCGTTCGGAAAAAATTATTTTCAATTGCGGAGGTTAATTGTAATCATTTTTTGTGAATAGACATATCCCCGAAATCCTGCGCATTTTCGAGAAAAAAATTCAGAAAGGGCGGAACTTTAAACGTTAATAACTTTTTAACGGAGTCTCCATCAACAAATTGGTATTCTTGATTTTCGTCTTATTTTTGCCTCTAGAATCCCCTATTAAAATTTCCCCCAAGGTTCGCTGAACACCCTCTATATTATTTTCCACATTCGAAATTCGTAAACTAATTTCACTTAAAATATCGAAGAAACTTTACCAAATGACACACAAAAAAATCTAACGAAAAATTATAAGTACAATTACTATACGATAAAAATTGTTGATTAAAAAAAATGAAAACTCCGCAACGAATAATTAAGTTTCTTATTTAATATTTAGATTACAGTGCCTGGGTACAACCGTTTTACAAATTAAGGGTTGAATTATTTATATCGAATAAACTATACTTGACCAGACTGTATATATTAAAATAATTCTTTTTTTATACAGAAATGATTCGATAAATAACTCCATGACGATCACGCTGTAAATATTAGTATGCTGGTAATTGTAATATAGAATGTAATAATGTTCGTAGTTTCATTGCGTTAAAATTATTAATTTTAGACAGAACCGTTCGACGATCCCGTTGCATATAAAGGCGAGGTAATCGTCGGCTTAAAATTCGTACCGCCAGATCCCACGCAACAGGATCGCGAACGAGAAATGGGATCGGACCGTGGTGCTTTTAAATCGAAGAAGAACTGGAGTCGCGGCGCGTTGCACGTGCTCGTGAAGGAAGCCAGGAATTTGCAAACCAGGGGGAAGAATACGGGCACGTGTGATCCGTTTTGCAAAAGGTATTCCCCCTTAATGCGTAAAACTTAAGGTATTGTAACATGTATAGTACGGGCCACGCTATAGTGAGGTCGTAAACTAAACTTTTGAGGTTTGGGACCCTCAAGGGCCGTACATGACATCTTGCTCGAAGGTGCATTTCTGAATGTCCTTCTGTATCCGTAACTGCACTACCTTTTTCCATTTTCTACATACATATATTATAAGCAGGTGAATTAAGATATTAAAGACTCGAGTAAGATCTTCACCTGTTACGATACCTCTAAAAATGGCGAGACTAGATAAAACATTTCTTTGTACAGCCCTGAATTAACGGTAATTTATGTAAACCTTGAAATATTTCGAATTATTTAATAATGTTTAACACTTTACCGACCGGTACCGATTGACCCTAGATTATATATATCTACTTTTTCTTGTACTTATAGGAATGTTAAATGAAACTTTGCGACAGTGGTTACTATATTGTTCTCTTTCTGTTATTATAGGGTAGTTAAATCTAGTGATATTTTTTATTTTCATGAAAACCGATTAATAAGCTACCGGTCGGTAAAGCGTTGATCGGTAAAAAGTCGATTAATAGGCTACCGGTCGGTAAAGCGTTAATCGGTAAAAAGTCGATTAATAGGCTACCGGTCGGTAAAGTGTTAATATTTCTAGTTAATCGTCAACTTTGTTTTCAGTTACTTATTACCTGACAAGGGTCGTTCAGGGAAACAAAAGACTGGGGTGGTACGCAGATCTGGTGGTTCACCGGTATGGGGTCACACTTTCATTTACAAAGACGTGAGCTTGCAAGAACTGGCAGAACGTGGTCTAGAGCTGACAGTTTGGGATCACGATCGTATCGCTAGCAACGAATTTTTGGGCGGAGTACGATTTAATCTTGGCACAGGTACGGTTATTCGCAAGTTAAATTGTTTATGTTTAATTATCACGCACAATACTTTTATTATTACTTGAGAACTTGCTAACAATTTAGCTAAAACTCTTGCAATTTCATCGATTCATAATCTTCTGGATCAACTCGATTCGTCACCAGCGCCACTGATGGACATGCGCACTAGAATTTTCCCTCGTGGGATTCCTTTCTGCGCATGCGTTAGCTTTCTGCCATAGATGTATCTTTAGCGCAAAAAGAGGTGCATGTTGGGTATTCCCATGTTTTGTACAAAATTGAACTTTCTACTTCAAATGCTCGCCAATCGCACAAAAATTAACTTATCGAAGATCCCCTATGTATTTCTCTAGCTATACTCATGTAGATTAAGAGGAAATTTTTTGTTTTTGTCTCTTTCCCTGTAACTTCCTTAAATTTGTCTTTTAAAAGAAAGACTGGTCATTTGACCGGTCATGATAGCAAATAGTGTTTGATTACTTCTAAACGCATCTCAAAAGCAAATTTTTAAATTTTCAGGAAAACACTATGGAAAGCCGGTGGACTGGATGGACGCTACCGGGCGCGAACTATCGCTTTGGCAGAGCATGCTAGAGAGGCCTAATTTCTGGGTAGAGGGCGCCGTGACTCTGAGGCCGAATCTGCACAATCATGGAAAGAACAGCAGCTCGTAAATAGACGTGTCAGTGATTTCTTTCGTACTTAAGTAACCACGTTTCATCGTGGACCTTGAGGGTCTCCGTCACAGCGAAGCTCGAAACGCTTCGGCCTAGTTTAACTAAAATGTACATACGCGGCTGCGTCAGCACGCCGCACAGTGAATAGTATCGAATCGCGACTTTCGAAATGAAATTCAGTGCCTTTAGGAACGGCGCGTGCGCGTCGTATCCTGTCCAGGACACAGTCTAAATTTCTAACCTCTGTCTGTCCATACTGAAGAGGTTTCCAAATAATCTTGATACTTAAATTACCACTTACTTTACGTCGAATTTAATTTGTACATGAATCGTAACCGTTAGTAGTTATATCGTAGCTTCTATTTTCTCTTGGTACATTCATTCTATACGTAACGTGTTCCCAATCACGTTTCTGAATATTCCGTACGAAAGGTTACGCGATATATATTTCCCTTGGAGCGATTTTTTCTTTATATATATAGTATATATATAGTTTTTTTTTGTTCTTTCATTCAGTTCGTTTGTACCTACGTTTTTATGTTTTCTTTCTCTGGTGTCTATCCGTACGGAGGAGGAAACGTCCTGTTTGAATGGTCAATGGAATATCAATTAACGAAGTTTGGCGCGTAAAATTCGTGCAATATGTCAAAGAACAAGCGTCGTCCTTCTCGTATAAGTTTACCGACCGTAGGTTAATGCGTAGCAAAATTTTTAATAAACATCCGTCTAGGCGAGATGACTATTGAGTGTTTACTGTGCATGAGCGTTCTTCGTGGACGTGTGTATTATTTACGAAGAGGGATGATGAAGAGGTAATTGATACTATGGGTCCGTTCCAAACGTATGTTTCTCGTTAAATACTTGTCAATTTTCAAACCCTGTGCGTTTTTACATTTTCCTTGTCTAACGATTGAAAACAACCAAGTCTTGTCTGTTTTCGCGAGTTAAAATTATTTTCTTTCTAGGTTAGGATCACAATGAGCGTCGAAATGACGTGCGTTTCTATTGAAACCAACCAAGACAAGAAACGCTTCATTGCGGACCCTAACCTAAAAAGAAAATAATTTTAACCCGCGACGAGAATCGAGTCCCGAATGAAATAATAAAATCAAGGATGAGAAATTTAAACGTTTGGAACGTGGCGTACATTGTGAACACTTGCCTTTCTTGACGAGAAAGATGCTTCCAGTGTGTACGATACTCTTGAATGATTTCTCGCGTCGAGCATTGCCAGACCCATGGAACGGTGCATTTAAGAAATTAAATATGACCGGTTCCCAGTATATATAAATATATTCAAATACATGTTATATTTATACACTCGTGTAGGATTATACAATAATGGTAGGCCACGGGGCTTTGGATGTCAGCGCCAGAAAGTTACGAGAGCGTCGTCGGTGTTCTCGGGAGTTGCAGTATTCGAGCGCCACCTTGCACCGTTTGCGGCGTAAATTGGAAACCTACCGTATACGTACTTAATTAATTATACAACGTCGAGTCTCCGATTATTACATGTAGGCGTATAGGTATAATAGCATCGTGTACTTATCCGTAAGGCTCTTCCTAAATACAGGGTTTAACGATCGGAACTATAAACTGCCTTCGTTGTAAGTTCTTAATAAAGGTTCGAGCGGCGCGACGAGACGCGTGTCGAGTCGATCAGGGAATTGCGAAGCATCGTACACAAAAGAGGGTTGTTCGTTTGATGTCCACGGTTATCGAGAAATGAATTCGCTACACGTTGAGGGAACGTATCGTTACGAGACTATGTTGTGTACGTTAAGGACCAATAACGTTAAATTAATAATATAGTCAATAATAGGAATGGAGATAACTTGTGTTAAAATTTACGACACGCGTATCTGTTTCCGTTCGGTGCCACGTGGCACGCGTTCGTTCGGTCGATCTGAACGGAATTAAATCAGACATCTATTTATATGTCACTCTTCGGTGTACATGATAATAAAAAGTTTTATACCTTTATTCATTCAGAATTATGTTTTATTCGATATATGCGTATATAAAATAAAAAAGGAATAACAATTGTAATACGGTAATTGAAACCAACGCGTCGTCGGTCACGCAGCTGAGAGCTTCTGTCATGAATATATGGAACACGTAAGATAGACTTTGTGCATCGTTTTGATTATTCTTACTTTACGGGACTGACTATTGTTTTCGTTTTTCATTCGTTTGGCAAAGCATGATTTCCATTTCGTTTTCAGTCTGCGTTCAAAGATCATTGTTCGAGATAAATCGGTTTCCTTCGGAATTCTTTCCGGAATACCGATACTTACATCTTCCAAAGGCTCCTAAAACAGAAACAGGTAAATTGTACGTGGGAATTATTTTTGAATGTCTCGACACATTGGTGTCATAAAAGCAATTCAATGAAAATATCTTTTCTGTTTTAATGAACATGGTTGTTTTGATAATATGACTCACAGTGAATGGTGAGATTTAAAATGATAAATCTAAAAGTTGAATAATGATAACGTGTTCGATTTTGTTCTAATTGCCCTCATTAAAAAAAAATAACAATGTTTTCGTAAACAAAAGATTGACATACTTTGTTCAATGCACATTTTGAAGTTTGTTAAAAAGAAACCTAAGTTTTCAAATAAATAATACTAGTGCTAACATTAAGATTAATATTGGGAATTATAATTAATGTATTTTAATTCTTGATAACAGTATTATCACTTGAAATTCTATTTTAGGAGAAATTCAGATTATATAGCATGCGAATTATTATTAATAATGTAATGTAACAAAAGAGGAATTAAATGGTGGATGTAATTGTTTCTAAATTATAGAAACAGCTTTCAAACAATAACCAGAGTTTTTCTATCTACAGCGGAACGTCGATAAGTGCAATTTTAACATTTGCATGTGAATTTTGTTCATTGCATTGCGTTGATAAGTAGAGGGGAAGGTCACACCTCGATAAAAGACCGGAGATTAATAAAATGTCGAACATGGACAATATGTTGTTCTCTAATTTCATAAATCAACTTTTATTTTCTCGTAAATTCTCGGCTCGAATTTGTTAAAGTCACGGAGTTACGGGCTATTTTATGAGGCCATTTCGAAACTTCGTTGCAAACTTAAAACCACATTCTTCAAAATGGCGTCTAGGATAATTCAACAACTAATCAATTGATCGATTTTAAACGCAACTTATTGCATTTTTTATACATTTCTTCGGACTGAACCTAAAATTTTAATTGTTATTTAGAATTCGACTGTCGAATTTAGTTATGATAAGACATATACGAGTACAAAATTAACAAAATAGAATTTAAACAAATATACGTATTATGACTATATTATAAAAGGAAGTATATCTTCTGAAAATAATTTGCTCATTTTTTACAAAAAATACGTTTCTAGATATTTTCCTCAATTTAAGGAATAAGGAAGGATAACCACGTATTTATGATTCCGTGTAACTCGAGTACTCATTGTGTAACTTCTTAAAAATAATAATAAAACTTACGTGAGATAATGACAATTGTATTTGTAAAATTAAAATTTTCAATACCAGCACGAGCATTTGGATAAAAAAAAAAAGAAATACATACATATCTCCTAATCTTGGATGATGCAGCTTACAAAATAAATAAAAACGTAACTCAATAACTACAAAACATAGAACAATATAAACTTAATACCTAGTCCAGTCTTTTCTCTTTAATTTTCACGTTAAATTGATATCGATAAGAATTAATAAAATGCATAATGTAACGTTAAAAATCGTACCTTTATGGTCGAGGGGATCGCGAGTCGACGTTGGCAAAGGCGTATAGTGAACGTTGAACAATATATCGTCGAATTCGTCTATCGTATTGGAGACTAACTTTGACGATAATTCTGGAACCAGTTTCACGGTCCTCGAGTATTTGCCTCGGCTTTCAGCGTCTATTTTTTCACGACGCGTGACTGGTCGTGAATCGAGGAAACGGAGGCTCGTTGGTAACACGTATATCGCATAAAGCCTGTAACGATCATAATCCTCTTCGTCCGTGGACGTTGGATGGGTCAATTGATCGGGGCATCCTGAATTGCCCAGCAAGCTCACGTGCACCACGCTGGGGCAACATTCTTGTATCCTTTTCAACGCGGCGTATATGTCCGATATCTAAACAATTCAGCAGTGAAATAAAAATAACAGCGTATAATTGTACGAACAAATGATTTTAGTAAAGTTTACCGATGGTCGTGCAGATTCCAAAATGCCTAAAACGCTGTAACTTAAACAAAATAGCTTGGAATTCACGTAGTTCGAACGAAATGAATTTACCAAGATGGCTGCCGTGTATAAATTCTGGAACGCTTGAAACATTAGAATTGTTCGGGAATAGCAACGGTAATATAACTTATTTTATAAATTATGTGTACATATTGAGTTTAGCAATGTTGAATGAAGGCCATGGAGATTCCAAGGCGTCTAAAGCTAGGAATGAAACCAATAATAATAGTTATTGCAATTAAATAGCATGACTTGCAGTGTAGATCACGAGGATAGAATGAACTCAGCAGGATGGAAAAATTTATAGCTTCTACGAAAATTGAAATATTTTAACGAATGAAAAACGAAAATAATGATTGAAACTTTTTATATAGCTGACGTTCAGCCATTTCCTCAAAAAATGAGGAAAAATTTGATATTAAATATAGAGACCAGATAATTACAAAATTTATACTATAATTCAAGAAAAATAATGCAATAAATACTGAATGAATTGCTTTAGTTTAATAGCCCTGTGAAGATATGTCTCACAAATATATCTTCTAAATTTCGTTGTTAACACTAAGATTATACATTTCGTTTGGTTTATCGCGACCTCAATTTAACAAATTATCTTGTCCATTAAATTTAACGCAGTTATACAAATTTGGCTCAGAAAATTATATCCCATATACTAACAAAATTAATGCGCTCATTTATTACATTATCGTGATGTATTCGCGTCGATACAGACAAGGTCAATGGCAGCCAGCCTGTCGCATTGTAGAATCTAAATTGCAAATGAATAAATCATAAATTATTCTTTCCACCTTCCAATGCGTACCGAATGAAGCAGGTACAGTTAACTCCACGTCTGAAGCGAAACAAAAGTCCCATTCAGCTCTTCTCAATTTATGGACTTGCCAATTATTATAGATTCATGCGTGGATTGCATTAAAAACATATACATACACCATTCTTCCAATAAAACCTTACTTTACGAATACAAATATTCTAGATAATAATAATTTTGTAAATACTAAACGATTTTTTATTCATGATCATTTAATTAGTAATTTAAAAGGTTTTGAACCATATACAGTACTGACATCTACAGGATGTTCGACCAACCCCGGGAAAAATTTTAATGGGAGATTCTAGATACCAAAATAAGACGAAAATCAAGAATACCAATTTGTTGATTGAGGTTTCGTTAAAAAGTTATTAACGTTTAAAGTTCCGCCTGTAGAACAGCAATCCGCGTGCGCGTGATAGTGGTTCTCATTCACTATGAGAAACTCTACTTACTGACGTATTGACAGCCTTACAGTTTTCTGAGTGAGAACCACTATCACGCGTGCGCAGTTGTTCGCAGATTGCTGTTCTACAGGCGGAACTTTAAACGTTAATAACTTTTTAACGAAATCTCAATAAACAAATTGCTATTCTTGATTTTCGTATCATTTTGGTCTCTAGAATCTTCCATTAAAAATTTTCCCAGAGTATACAAGTGTAATTTTTGTTATTATTTTCGTGGTTTTAAAGTAAAACAGGAGGGCATGTCATTTTATAATAATCACAGTTTCATAATATCAATCGAGTTTTAAAATTAATGTGCACTTGATTACAATATTTTTCAGCTATAAAAGTAAGATGAAGACATTTATTAAATTTGAACGTTTTAAAGAATTAATACAAATACCCAACCACAATTATTTTAAACTTGTTGTTTGCAGCAATTTATCTTTTCGAACAGTTATATTGCCGATAATATAATATTATCATGGTTAGAGATTCAGATTAATTTTTAAAATATAATAAAATTTACAAACTTAATATTTCATGTTTCTTAAATTATTATTCGATGCTCCGCCCTTCAATACCTAATGGCGAATATAAACTAATCGGGACCACAAGCTAATTATTTTGAGCAGTCCTTTCCTTTTCTGAAATATTTTATGAAAGATAATTGTTGTTATTATTACGAAAATGTATTTATCTTTATAACATTTTATATGTAACATAAAAAACTCTCAAATACTCTTTACAAAATTAAACAGAGAAATATGTTAAACATAAAATACGCAAACGATCTAAGATGCCCCTTCCACGTACACAACCCAAAATTGAAGCATCATTAGGTTCATGGTAGGTACACCAGCAATAATACCTATTTTTCTCAAATCAATTATTTCTATTTCTTCGTATGTAGTTTGTGAGCTTTAAAAATATTAACTAATATTTGATATCCATATCTTCCGTAGCTCGCTACTTCAAAACTTATCTTACTTTGTATAGATATAACATAAGAATGTTTTTCACTTTAGTGTATGGAAACCCGATCTGTCATATTACGACACACACGTAAATAACTTACAATTCACGATACATGGCGGATGAATTAAAAAATCATTGACAGAACGATCAATCTATCGTCCTTTCGCCGGGTACGCATTAACAGACTAATTCCTTTCTTATCAATGATAGTTCCAATTCATCGTTACGCTTTCATCGATACGTTGTCTAAGGAAAAGAAAAAAGAACAAACCTTATTGTTATTTAAACTGAGAGTGGTCAGCGTCGGTATTTGGGGCAATGTTCTGAGATCTCGAAGGTTATTATTATCGAGTATCAATTCCTGTAGCCTCTTGTAATCCTTGACAGCGGTGATAGAGGTTAGTTCGTTGTAAGAGAGATCTAAACTGGTACAATCGTTGCCGACGACACCCACTAATCCTGGAGGAATTTTTTCCGCTCGCTGACCCGTATACCAGGCCTAGGTTGTTAAAAATCCGTGTAATAGTTTAAACACGTAAGGAACACGATTTCATTGCAGAGACGTTCTAAGTAGATGCACGTTAATTAAAATATACGTCGATTACCCGTCCACATCGCACTGACAACGCAGTCCTATTAAAGTCGCGTCGGACTTGTTCCGCCATCTTTCACGCACCATATAATGAGAAATTATCATAAAACAATAAGAGTGATAATACTTTGGATCAGCGGTAGTGCCGCCATTATGCATGATATTTTTAGTGAAAGAATCGTCACTGGATTGGCTCGTTGGTCTAGGGGTATGATTCTCGCTTAGGGTGCGAGAGGTCCCGGGTTCAAATCCCGGACGAGCCCAACGCCTTTTTTCTCGAATAGTCTTCTAATTAATGATATATTTTTTTGTACAAAGTAGATAATGAAATTTCTTATAATAAATGGGCTGAAAATGTTACAAGGAATGGTAAAAAAAAACAGAGAAATGGGGCTAATAATTCTATCATACCTATGTTCTTATATGCTTTTGTATTTTATAAAAGTTTTATTATATAAGATTCTCATTTTTAAAAATAACAATTCATTGATGATGTAGTATTTACAATTGGGGCAATAGCCAAAGAGCTTGTGAGTTTCAATCCATCTTTTTTGTTCTTCAATGGCGTTTTTAAATAAATTACAAAATATTAAATTCATTATCATAGATATACTATTCGATTTTGTATCATAAAATACAAAACATAGTAGAAACAGTAAAAGTTGCACATCAATTGGAAAAACTACAAATTTATAATTTACAATTTAAAATTTTTGCGAAAATATATGTAAAGTCAAAGGAGAAGCAGTACTTTAAATAACATGCTTTATACTCTCAGCCCTTCCCTCTGAATATTACGTTTCTATATATATATATATTGTTTTACAATATAAAGTCATTTAAACCTTTCTTTAATTTTTTAATAGGTTTGTGTATCATTCTGGTTCTTATTTTGGGACTAGTTACTTCTTCATTAATAGTACATTTCCTCTGACTTTTACATCTGGACTTTACTGTTTCTAGTTTTCTTTGAATATGAATATCTTCATTTCCAACTTCTTTAGACCCATCAACTCTATCATCACTTCAACTCTATCTTTACACTGTTCCAGTTTGTCATTTTTACTAGTGCTGCTGTAATATAAAGTATTACAATTTGTATACATTTTTAATTTGACAGACTCAGTAGAATCTTTGCTAGTGTCGTTCAAATTTAGTGTATTATAAAAATTCATCATTGCCTGGAATGCACTGGCACATTTACCAGTATTGGAAATAAAAATATGTGGTTTAAGATCATCTTCCTTAAAAGTTTCTGTTTCAATGTTCTCTATACCAATAAATAAATTATCAGATATTCTTTCAAGATAAAACATAAGAGCTGTTTGTATATTAGAAGGAACGTACTTCTTATTAACTCAGCACCTTCTGCTTTATATTCAGTAATTTCCTCATCTTTCCTCTTTACTAAATCTAAAAGAATTTTATGCTGACGAATAATTTCCATTGATGACACGCATAGAGGTTTAGTTATAATTTCCCAAAAATCATAAGGTGTTCCCTTTGATAAATATAAAGCAAACTTCATTGAACCCTCTTCGATCTGAGCACGTAACTTTATTTGTTCAACAGAAGCTTCAACAATATATTCATATATATTATTTAAGATATTTGCCACAACTTCTTCATAATTAAAAGCATCAATATTTAATAGTGGATTTAATTCCTATGATACAAGAAATTAAATATATAGAAATTTATATTTTTACTGTGCAAACACAAGTATGTTATACTTAATTGTGATCTTTAGTAGATGGTACCCCAAAATTAAGTATAACCTACTCATGTTGTAATAACATAACTTATGCTCAATTACACTGATTCTAGTTAAAATAATTTCATTTACCAATGTTTCTATCCATATTTCAATGAGATTAGTTAAAAATACTTCAGTTGTGTCATTTTTGTATCACAAATTGTATTTTCTGGCATACCTGTATTCCTGATAATTTGTAACTAAGAAACGCAACTATGTTTTAATTATACGGGCATTAAATTATGAAATTCCTAACCTTTAATCAAGTAATATAACCTATAATATTGAAACGAGCCCCTTTTTTCGCGGCAACTAACAATTTTTTAAGTTCATCAATAATTAATATCAATTATTATTGCACTGTATACATATATATTTATGTACAATTATGTGTACTGTATACTTTTATATAAGTAAAATTAAATACTTCCTCCTATTTTGGATCTCCTACACATGTATACACAAACTGAAAGATCGATTTGAGATATTGATATGTATGTTTTTCTCACCATTCTGTTAATACAGAATTTCACACACCGCAGAATTGTTTAATATAATAAAATTACAAATATGGAATAATTGATTTCGTTAACGGTAGAAAATTATGAAAAATTTGATATTAAATGTATAAATCCGATAATTACAAAATCTATATTGTAATTCAATAAAAACATAATGCAATAAATAGATGAATGAATTGCTATAGTTTAATAGCTCTATGAAGATATGTCTCAAATATGTCTTTTAAATTTCGTTATTAACACTAAGATTATATATTTTGTTTGGTTTATCGCAACCTCAATTTAACAAATTATCTTGTCCATTAAATTTAACGTAGTTATACAAATTTAGCTCAGGAAATTATATCCAACATTCGATATACTGCAACACATCCTTTCTAACAAAATAAATGCGCTCATTTATTATATTATCGCGATGTATTCGCATCGGTACAGACAAGGTCAATGGCAACCAGCCTGTCGCATCTAGAATCTAAATTACGAATGAATAAAATCATAAATTATTCTTTCCACTTTCCAATGCCTACCGATTGAAGCAGGTACAGTTAACTCTACGTCTGAAACGAATCAAAAGTCCCATTCAGCTCTTCTCAATTTATGGACTTGCCAATTATTATAGATTCATACGTGGATTACATTAAAAACATACACGATACCCATCTTCCAATAAAACATAACCTTACGAATACAAATGTTCTATAAATAGTTTGTTGTTATTTACTCAAGTTCAATTAACAATATTAACATCATATATAGAGTCTTAAAGAATGACCCTCAAATTACGATGAAATCTTGATCTGATCGAACTATTTCTCCAGTAAATACAGTAGTGCCCACTTAAATGTCCGTGCTCAGGACTATTACTTGATTTTTAAAAATACCAAACGGTATTTATGATATTATAATAAACTTTTGTATATTTTATGATCTATGTCTAATTTACAAAAATTGAAATTTCATGTATAACTTAACCAATAATCCTTATCGAATTAATCGGAAGTTGTCTCATACTTCATGAAATAATTAACGTTTTATTGCATTCTCTACAATTTACATTTCTACAACAACATTTTAATTTTTTTATACATATATGTACGTGTTTAATCATTTTTACTGTACAATACAGGGACTCCCAAAATTAGCGATACAATCAAATGGGAGGCCATTCTACTGGAAATGTAAGAAATTTTATAGCAATACTAATAATTGTATTATAATACTCTTCGCTGCCCCCCCACGGGCAGATCGTTGTTACAGCAATTGTCCCCATCGTTCCTTGTCTGTTCTTCCTATATCTAAGAACCACATAAAAAAAATGGCGACTGCACTCACCAAATCTGTAAGTATGTAATCCCTATTGTTGTTTACATTTAGCAGGTCATCGAGACTCGTAGCGCCAATAGTTGGCCATCAAGACTCGTAATGTTTTTCATTTCTTACCCGAAAATAGATCGATAAAATAAAATCGAACTTTTCTTGTACGCGATTTTATTTTTGAAAAAATTGATAGTGAAACTACTTGGGTTACGTGAGTATTTAAATATTTGTACACAACGTATAGGTGTGATAATTTACAAAAAAAAAACAATTTTATAATTGACTTAAAATATGATAATATGTCTTCGTTAATATTTTTAATCTTAATCGTAATTCTTTATCTTTTTGTGAGGAAAACAAAAAATTAATTTTTCCGTAGTTCGCTACTTCAGAACTTAGCTTATTTTGTAGAGATATAGCACACGAATGTTTTTCACTTTAGTGTACGGAAACCCGATCTCGCCATATTACGACACACACGTAAATAATTTATAATTCACAATACATGGCAAATGAATGAAAACGTCACTGATAAGGCAATCAATCTATTGTCTTTTCAGCATGTACACATTAATAGACTAATTTGTTTCTTATCAATAATAGTCTCAATTCATCATTGTTATTTAAACTGAGAGTGGTCAGCGTCGGTATTTGGGACAACGTTCTGAGATGTCGAAGGTTATTATTATCAAGCATCAATCCCTGTTGCCTTTGGTAGTCTTTGGCAGTGGTGGTAGAGGTTAGTTCGTTGTGAGAAAGATCTAAACTGGTGCAATCGTTGCTGACGACACCCACTAATCCTCCAGAAATTTTTTCCGCTCGCTGGTCTATATATCAGGCCAAGGTTGTTACAAATCCGTGTAATAGTTTAAACACGTAAGGAACACGAGTTCATTGTAGAGACGTTCTAAGTAGTTGCATATTAATTAAAATATACGTCGATTACCCGTCCACATTGCATTGTCAACGCAGTCTTATTAAAGCCGCGTCGGCCTTGTTCCGCCATCTTTCACGCACCATATAATGAGAAATTATCATAAAACAATAAGAGTGATAATACATTAGATCAGCGGTAGTGCCGCCATTATGTTTTTAGTGAAAGAATTGTCAATGAATTGGCTCGTTGGTCTAGGGGTATGATTCTCGCTTAGGGTGCGAGAGGTCCCGGGTTCAAATCCCGGACGAGCCCAACATTTTTTTCAATCGATTTGCAGCTAATTGTATATTTGTTTTTATTCAAAATTTATAATGAAATTTCTTATAATAAATACGCTGGGAATATTAAAGGGAATGGAAAATAGAAAAGATCAAAATAATTCTATCATACCTATGTTCTTATATATATTTTTGTAAAGATCGTCATATATACATAAAATAATTATTTTTGATTAGTGTATACATATTTTGAATTTCATATTTGAAAAATTGTAAAAATGTTATTATATAAGATTCTCTCATTTCAAAATAACAATTCATTGATGATATAATATTTACAATTGGAGCAATAGCCAGAGAAAGAGCTTATGAGTTTCAACCCATCTTTTTTGTTCTTCAATGGCGTTCTTAAATATATTACAAAATATTAAATTCATGATCATAGATATACTATTCGATTTTGTATCATAAAATACAAACCATAGTAGAAACATTAAAAATTGCACAGCTATTAGAAAAACTACAAATTTATAATATACAATTTAAAATTGTTGCAAAAATATATGTAAAGTCAAAGGAGAAGCAGTACTTTAAATAACATGATTTATACTCTCAGCCCTTCCCTCTGAATATTACGTTTCTATATATATATATATATTGTTTTACAATATAAAATCATTTAAACCTTTCTTTAATTTTTTAATAGGTTTGTGTATCATTCTGGTTCTTATTTTGGGACTAGTTACTTTTTCATTAATGGTACATTTCTTCTGACTTTTACATCTGGACTTTACTGTTTCCAGTTTTCTTTGAATATAAATATCTTCATTTGCAACTTCTTTAGACCCATCAACTCCATTATCTTTACACTGTTCCATTTTGTCATTTTTACTAGTGCTACAGTAATATAAAGTATTACAATTTTTATACATTTTTAATTTACACTTATTTATTTTCTGTTCTCTTTAGTACCTTGCAGACTCAGTAGAATCTTTGCTAGTGTCGTTCAAATTTAGTGTATTATAAAAATTCATCATTGCCTGGAATGCACTGGTACATTTACCAATATTGGAAATAAAAATATGTGTTTTAAGATCATCTTCCTTAAAAGTTTCTGTTTCAATGTTCTCTATACCAATAAATAAATTATCAGATATTCTTTCAAGATAAAACATAAGAGCAGTTTGTATATTAGAAGGAACGTACTTCTTATTAACTCAGCACCTTCTGCTTTATATTCAGTAATTTCCTCATCTTTTCTCTTTACTAAATCTAAAAGAATTTTATGCTGACGAATAATTTCCATTGATGACACGCATAGAGGTTTAGTTATAATTTCCCAAAATTCATACGGTGTTCCCTTTGATAAATATAAAGCAAACTTCATTGAACCCTCTTCTATCTGAGCACGTAACTTTATTTGTTCAACAGAAGCTTCAACAATATATTCTAATATATTATTTAAGATATTTGCCACAACTTCTTCATAATTAAAAGCATCAATATTTAATAGTGGATTTAATTCCTATGATACAAGAAATTAAATATATAGAAATTTATATTTTTACTGTGCAAACACAAGTATGTTATACTTAATTGTGATCTCTAAGTAGATGGTACTCCAAAATTAAGTATAACCTACTCATGTTATAAGAACATAATTTATGCTCAATTACTCTGCATCTAGTTAAAATAGTTTCATTTGTCATTGTTTCCATCCATATTTCAATGAGATTAGTTAAAAATACTTGAGTTGTGTCATTTCTCCGTGTAATAGAGATCATGTAAAAATCATTACCAATTTTAATATCATTCCATATTATTCCTTGTTTATGTCGATCAAAAATTGTATTTTCTGCCATACCTTTACTTTTGATAATTTGCAAGTTAGGAATGCAACATATGTTTTAATTATATGGACTTTAAATTACAAAATTCCCAACCTCTAACCAAGTAACATAACCTACAACATTGAAACGAGCACCTTTTTTCGCGGATAACTAATAGTTTTTTAAATTTATCAAACATTAATATCGATTATTATTACACCGTATACATATTGATTTATGTACAATTTTGTATACTATATACTTTTATATAAATAAAATTAAATACTTCCCCCTATTATAGGAGTTCTATGTATATATGTACACAAACTGAAAGATCGACTTGCGATAAGTATCGAATGAAAGTATCGATAATGTTCCATATAAATGTGAAATATGCTTGAAATTCTGAAGATTTAAACAGTATTAGGTCAGAATATAAAGTACTTATTCGAAACAGAAATTGATAATTAATCAAAACTATATAAATGTGTTTATTAAATATGAATGCAACGAAAGACAAAAGATACAAAAGCTATACATGTTTCCTCTTATGTTTTACAATTCGAACATTTACGGTGTGCAACTTTGAACTCGGTAAGTTGTTATTCACGTTTGAATCAAAAAGGTGACTCTTCAAAATCTTTTCTTTTGTATCGGTCTATAATATAAAAATATCACAACTATAATTAAAATATAAACTTAAGCGGGCAGAGATAGATTATGAGACTTAAAACGAATAAGTTCTTACATTGTAGCAATGCTTAATATAGTTATAGGTAAATATCTTCAATAATAAATACTGAATAATTATCGAACGTACCATTCCTCGTGACTTATCGGGAGTAATAGATAATTCTTTGTTTTTAGATTGCTTTAATTTTGAAATTTCTCTCCAATTAGTAAATATTACTGGATTGCACCTTTTTAGATGTTCTTTACGATTTATGTTACCGTTACCTTTATAACCATTTTGATTTATATTTGGATCACCGAAATTGATTAATGTAGATTTTAACAATTCGGTTGAAGATTTTCTCGGTTTCATTATTACGTAATTATAGATAGAGGGTGTGCTATGTGATGATGAATTTGAAGTATTTACTTTCATTTCATTTCCAGAAAATATTGTTTGAACTTCTTTTTCTTGCTTCAACTTTAAATATTCGTCATATATTTGATCTTTATGCGTAATTTGATTTTTCCCTACATGTATGTATATACATTAAAAAATAATATAAAACGTCGTAAATTGATCAGTAATTTGGTAAATGAGGAAAATGAATTTCTATAAATTAGTAATAAAATAATTGTGATAATTACAATGTTTATTATATAGGTCCCACGTAATATATTTATCCTGAAACAGTATACTATCAGCTTCGTTAACGATTTCTTTAGGCCTACATTGTGTTTCAGCATCACTGATAAGCCTTAACTTTAAACAATGATTGACTTTATTATCTATATTTTGAGATACTATTGCATGTTTTGAGGATTCCTATGGTGTGTCATAAAGTATATAAATTGTATAAGTGTAATAAATACGTAGATTGTAAATTGTACCAAAATTAGGGAATATATTTTAAGAAAACTCCTATATTTAAAAATCATTTGGAATTAAATTCAAGTACATTTATAAACAAATTACACAGAGGAAACATTTATACAGAAATATTATCCCCATAAAAATGAAATTTAAAAACTTTTAAATATTTGGAAGTAAATTGATTTAGGGATCAAATACCAAGTTTTGGAGCAGTTGATTTTTTCTTGGATTTTTCTTAGATAAATAATTTAAAATGTTTTTTGTATATGCAGTTATTTTACTAGTAATATTAGATAAATCATTATATTCCTTTTTAAGCTGTTTAACTAAATAATTGTTTGCTTCTGGAATAGATATTTCTGGAATATTGTGATTTAGTAGCATGCAGGATACACCTACATCCTTTACCAGAACTGCATCTGGGAATTGGCCAATGTTCTTACTACTCCTATAGAAAAATTTTATGTAGTAAATTATCATGCCATACATACAACTTTAATTTTCACTATTATATGAATATAATTTCAAAGTAAATTTAGTAAAAAATATAAAATAAAATTTTGATAAATATATTCATTTAATGTTACAAATACAGTAACAAAAATCAAGAATATTTCATTTCTATTTCTTTTTTAAGTTTACCTCTAATTGTATTTATTTGTAATATACTTACACAGGACAAACAATTCTTAAATACAAAAATTAATTTACATAAAAGAGCATTTAATACCAAAAGATAATGATAATATTAACCTATAGTATGGGAACTGGCAATTATTATTAATTGTAGAACTACTTATTTCATCAAATACATTGTTTATCGTCAGCATCTGTTCATATTCATTTTTGTTCATGATGTTGATATCATTATGTGATGTGGATCTCAAAACATTTTGTGTAATGGAGTCGTTCTCTGACATTGTAGAAACAAAACTCTTAGACCGATCATCAGTAATGACAGAATATCTCTTCATTTGTGGTATGATGTTAACTGATGCATCTCCTGCTTCCGGAGAAGCAACAAGGGCACCCATCTCAGAGATGATTGTTAAATTATCAAATAATTGTTAAATTACCCACAAGGCAATGCAATTATCAATAGAGAGATTACAAAAGTAGATAAGTAAATTAATAAAATGTAATAGGATAAAATATTGAAACTGAAAGCTAACCAGACTAGAACTTTATCAATGGAAGGTATAATTAATAGTCTTATGAATTACCGAGATTCTAAATCTTCTTTGACCCATGACTGAAAAACATAGGCACCTTTGTATTTCTGGTTTGTATTTCAGTCGAGTTTTAGAGACATCCATTACATAATGAAACCTTGATGTTACCAATCAATTTTGGGATTGCAACAACTGAAGAAGGTTAGATTTCGGTTGTTGATTATGGAAAACAAAACATAGTAACTACAGTTCTGTAGAATCTTTGTAAATAATATAGTTACTATATTCATATTGAACAGAAATCATGAGTTATCTAAGAATTGTGAAAGATTTTAATCTATTATAAAATTATAAATTATATTATAATTTTGTTAAATAGAAGAATATTTTCGTTTGACGCATGAGGTACACATATGTATCAGTTTAATTCTATATTAAAGTATCTATTATGTATTACCTATTTTGCATTGTAAATATTTGTAGCCATTAAATTTATTTTCTCCAGGAGAAAGTCACTAGCTTCAACACCAACCAAGACAGTTACATAAAGGTGTAGGGGTTTTGGCAATGGCCGACCTAGTGACTTTCTTCTAGAAAGGTGAGAGTCGATGGACCCGGGAATGCCTATGTGAAACTTAAAATGACAAGAATGTTGACTGTTTACTATATGTTCTATAATATTTTTAATAATATTATAAAACGTATAGTTGCATTTTATTTACTCTCATCTTCTGTCCTCTGGTTTTGATACCAACTGTCAAACGGATAACGTACTTATACTGTATACACTTTAGTAATTATGCATAAACTGAATGTCTGTACATACATGTATATGTTTCATTATGATTTAATTTTTATTAAACTATACGTTTTTACGTAAATTAAATTTGTACACAAACTTTATAATTATTGAGAATCACTTGATTAAATTAAAAGTATCAAAATTCAATATTTTTATGCTATTATCTATTCAAATAATAATGAAAGTTCTACAACAATATCAAACAGTTGAGAAAAATTTGTAAAACATACGATAATCCAAATAAATAAAAATAGAAGAATATATTCATTTAGATTTCTTATAATAAAAAATAATTGAAAAATATGTAAATAACATTTTTAAAATATCGACTGTATAAATAAGTTGTTAATTTAAATATTAGGAACAATATTCTGAATACGTAAAATACATTTTAAATTGTAAAACGTACAAGTCGTATATTTTCGAAATATTCTGGTTTTGATGAAAAATACAAGCAATCCTATAAACGCGATATTATTATTGCGTAAACAACCATTTTACGAATTATTGTTTAATTACAGTTTTAAAAAGCATATATGGAATTATTTATACAATATTCCATAACTCAATTCAAATTTTCGATTTACATCGACTTTGATCTTTGCGTGTAAACAGTGTATGTATTTCTTAGAATCTAAAGGCAAGTTAACCAATGGCGTTTTCTCACATTCTATAGAACTGACAGTAAGTCAATGGCGTAGTCATATACGAAGTTTTAATGAATTTCATAAACCATAGCGCAGCTCTAAATTAAACGCTTTATTCTTCGTCGATGGAAACGTCGCAGACGTTTGTTAAATGTTATAACTTTATACTCGTGTCGATAAAAAATATCGATTAGTAAAATCGAAAAAAAAGAATGGAAAACACTCGTATAAATTAATGTTCGTTAAGCTGCCTCGAGCAGGGCATTGGAAGTGAAGGTGTATCGAACAGAGAGACTACGCCAATGATACACGTTTTTTCAGTTTGATCGGCATGGCTGCCGCGGCACTCGTGAACAGATCGCGTCGCGACGCACGTAGAGTCGGTGCTTCGTCCGCGAGCAGCGTTGTATCGGGATCGAGAGGCATCGAAACGCGGTTAGATTTTGTTCAACGATACGTGGGATCGACACAGGACACACGGTTCCCGACAACGGAAAAGTGACGCGCGATAAAGCTGCCAGTATTCCAGGCCAGTGGAAAAGCAATCGGAAAGTTGATTGACAGGAGCGCGACAGTGGACAGTTCGGTAGCAGAAGCGAACGAGGGATCGTGATGAGCTTGAAAGCGTCTTCGGAGCCGAGCACGACGACGATCGAGGCCGAGAAATTGAACGCGATTTTCGAAATTCACGTTAGTGACGGCTCGCCAGTCGTGTACGGTGCATTCGTAATAGGTGGTGTTTCGCCGCGGTGTGTCGTCGTTCTAAAAACCTGTGCCGGTTAATTATCCGACTCGAGAGAAAGTCGACGGTTACTTCGCGTGTTTCGACCGGTCTAGAGACACGTCGTTCGGATTCCAAATTACGAAGTAAAACCTTTCAGGCCGCGTTTTCAAATTGTGCGACCGAGTCGGTCCGATTCGTCGCGTCGAGATCGCGCGCGCGCACGCCTGCGTGCACGCGTAGAGAAGTTCCCGGGTTAATCTGCAAAAATCGTCGCGGACACATTGTTCCGATACGGGGGACGCTCGTTACCAGAATCCGTGGAATGTGTCTCGTTGTCAGCTGTTTTATCGTTTTCGGCGGGCATGGCTGACACTGGATATGAAGAACGCGAAAGATCGCCGTAAAACGAACGACGGATGCGCTCGACACTGGATTAATAATGACAGATGTGTTCGCAGAGAAGTGATCGATGTGTGACAAGTTCGATTCCCGAACTTATTCTCGAAGTGTCGCGGATTAGCGTGGCTCGATTCGAGCGTGTCCAACCGCGTATCAGCGTGTCGAATGCTGTTACATTGACATTTAATGTATCATAGACCAATGTAGCGCAATGTTCGTCAGATTGACCATCGTTATTGCGGCATTGTGCCTGTGGATTGGAGTCGGTAAGTTATTTTATACTCGTCAATCGACACAATTACATTTGCATTCGTGCGATCTTATTTTATTTGGAAACGTTTAATTTCATGACTGAAACTACACTTCCATTTAGTCGGGAATCCTTTAAAAGAATCAGAGTGAAATAATGCTTTGCTGGAAATGTTTTAGAAATCGTCCCGGTGTTATTTTTAGAACGCTTTTTCCTTTTTCGGTTAGGCACCAGCGACGACTGTGATTCCCCGTTTAAAATAATTTAGCAAATGGAAAAGTAGCGGAATTTTTTGTCGTCCATATTATTATACAAATAATGGATTTTTATTAAAAGTGTAATAATAGTATCAAGGATTTGTGTTAATTTTGAGACGATGGCGTAGCAAATCAAAAGTTCTGAAAATTATTTTCCACGCAGCCTGTGGTATTTAATCGTATTTGTGGTTTTTTAGCCATCGTCCTGAAGTCTATACTTTCTAATATATCCCGGAGAAAGCGCGAGGAGACTTCTTCCGATGCAGGTTTCGAACAAGCGCGAAACCAAACTGTAGAAAGATAAATTCATAGCGGCCGTCAGAAATATTCTGTGGTATATTTAAAGAAATACAATACAACAGCGAAATTAGTAAAATGGTATAATTTGAAAATGTAACAATATTTTCTGCATATTCCTAATAATTACATATTTATTAATAACATTAAACATACGTTGGGTATATATCACTCATCTCGATTCTGTAAAAAGTTACGAAATACTTATCGATGAAAAATTATAGGATATTTAATATTACTGGTTTAAATAGTAGCAAACAAAATGTTTTACGTTCCGTTTTCCGTATAAAGAGCTCCGAAAACTATTGATAAATATAATGTGAAGAGATTTTAAAGTCATCGATGTCTCTTTTAATAGTTAAATGGCGGAGACGAAGTCGGGTCGCTTCTGACCCACGCTTATAACTCTGAGGTTAGGTGGGTTCAAAATTGCCCCATTTTTTAATCCACCCCCAAAAGTTGAAATTACTCGTCATCATACAAATCGAAATGAACATTTTTCTTCACTTTTTTATATTAAAAAACATTCTGCGGAACTTGGGTTTCTTTTTTTAAATCGGGTATTGTTCCTGTATTCTTCTTCTTATAAATTAAGCTCTTTTAACAGTCACTGTATACTGGGACTATACAGGGTGTTCGGTCACAACTGAGAGAAATTTTCATTCTCGACTGAGGCTTCGTTAAAAAGTTATTAACAATTAAGTTAAAAAATTTCAAATCGTTCTGGAAAAATTATTTTCGGTTGCGGGGGTCAATTACAATCATTTTTGGTGAACAGACATACCCCCGAAATACTGCGCATTTTCGAGAAAAAAATTCAGTACGGGAGGAACATTAAACGTTAATAACTTTTTAACGAAACTTTCATCAACAAATTGGTATTCTTGATTTTCGTCGTATTTTGGCCTCTAGAATACCCGTTTAAAATTTTTCATCATAATTATTAGATATTGATCTGAATATCAAGAATATATAGAAACATTTTCGGCCACACAGTATATTTTCGGTAAAGAATTTTTTTCTCGAAAATGCGTAGGATTTCGGGGGTGTGTCTATTGACCAAAAATGATTATAATTGACCCCCGCAACGGAAAATAATTTTTCCAGAATGATTTGAAATTTTTTAATTTTGTCGGAAAATTTCACACCTACTCGAATTTTTGTCTCGAAAGTGGATAGGATTTCGGGGGTATGTCTACTGACCAAAAATAATTGTAATTGACCCCTGCAACCGAAAATAATTTTTTTAAAATGATTTGAAATTTTTTTTCGCCGAAAATTTCGTTGAATTTAGGCACCTAATTAGATTTTCGGTGAGGAATTTTTTTCTCGAAAGTGCGTACGACTTCGGTGGTATGTGTAATGACCAAAAATGATTCTAATCGAACCCTGCAAATAAAAATAATTTTTCCAGAATGATTTGAAATTTTTTAATTTGATTGTTTAATAACTTTTTAACAAAGCTGCAATCAAGAAATTGATATTCTTGATTTTCGTCTTATTTTGGTCTCCAAAATCCACCGTTAAAATTTATCCTGTATAATACTCGTTTGTTCTTTGTGTTCTACATTTGTGCACGGGAAATAAATAAAAAAGTGGTTCGATACAGGCAACTCTCTCCTACGTCTACCATCGTTACAATTATCGTACAGCTTTATTGCGTATCGCACCTACGCGACATTCCTCTTCTACCTATTGCATTAAACCGCCGCCTTCGATTCAACAGATTCCGCTCGCTTAAACGATTCCTTTCTCTTCCATGTCGATGCTGCAGAGAACATGGTCGCAAAAATTACCATTAAGCGTGTTGGCCGTGCTGCCATATGGTCAAATAAGATAGAAAGGAGATCGCTAATACCCGGAGCAAATTAATTTTAATTCGCTCGCGTGCCGTGCAATCAAAGCGTATGATTTACGGATTTTCCAATCACAGCTACGAATACCGGTCAGAAGAGTTGAATTCGTTCAACGTATCGATGTAAGGAAGGACGCAGGAGAAAGTTGCTTAAATCGTGATTTAGTTTCCATCGGCTATTCTTTAACGGTGCTGTTGTTTCTATTGTGATATTTACGCTATTTTTTATTTTCGTTCTTTGAATACGAACGATTAACTTAAATACTTAAAATGTGCACGACAGTTCGAAATTAATCGTACACGTTGAAACAGTGGGACTTATTAGAGGGAATTAACACGTATTTTTAATAAACACGCGTTCGAAAATTAATCGTTTCTGAAGGCAATTTTTGTAATTACCAATGTACAAGTGTGCAATTGGACGAGTTGCATAAAAATTCTAATCGATGTAACTAAATTCCATATGAGTTAGAAGTTTGATACTTTTTAAATGACACAAAAAAAAATGTAATTGAGATATAGTTCAGATACATATTAAAAACACTCGATAACATTTATAATAGATTTAATAAGCAGAATAGTGGCTTAATACGCTTTTTGCGATATCACTAAATATTTTAGTATATTTTATCCGTTTGTAATAAAACGGTGTAATATATAAACGGTATAAATAGAGAAAATACCAATAGAATGGGGAATTAGTAAGATATAAATGAAATCATCGATGGAAAGTTGTAATAAAGAAATTAATAGATTTCTGTGTGTTTCTTTATACATCGGCGAGAGAAAACTAATCGGTAATCTTTAAACCAAAATAGTATAGGAAAAATAAATATACAAGATCTGTTAGTTCGGACCTGAATCCTCATGATCTTCAACAATAATCTCCGATGGTTTATTTTACGTACGATCCAGTTATTTTAGTTCCTCAAAATTCGTTCCTCGAGGATTACGAATTCTCACTTGTAAAAGTTATCAAAGAATCTAAAATGGTTGCGCCAACAAAACGGTATCCATCATTTCCGAACACAAATAGAAAGTCACCGAAACCGGTGTCCAGATACGTAATAAGGTTAAACATTTCCGAGCCTAATCGTGAAAGATTCTGTAGACAATGGAAAAATTCCGTACTGTTTCACTTAAAAACGTTTATCATAATACGAAACTAATATATTCCAACGCAAGGATATCATTTTCTTAAAGATAATCTAATACTGTCGATACGACATCGTCGACAATTTATTTCTGCCCCGAATGCTGAATTTCAATTTTAAACAAGCACAGATGGGCAGATTTCTTTCGAATGATAAGTAACGAATACAATGTCTATAACGATTTAATCACAAGGCACATTCTATGGAACAGTTATTTAGATAAGCTTCTATTCGTTCAGCGTGAAGTATAATTTGATTGCATAATACAGACTGTAGTTTTTATCGAACGTATAACGAACGCATTCATTGAAAGATCTAAAGTTCATCTTATTTCGTTATTTGAAATTTGAAGTGAATTTATTAGAAGTGACGTATTTCTTGAGATCATTAGAGTACCAGGAGTCAGATTATTGAAATAAATCTCGTGAAATATTGAAAATGGTAAGTTTGTCTAGTCAACAAATGGCAAATATGAACTTATTATAAGTAATATCTTGCCAGGCTTATGTTTAGATGCAAGATCATTTCGAAGATATCTATTGCGAAAGTAAAGAGGTACAATTTGTTAAAAATTCGCTGTAACTCCAAAATGGAGCCAAATAGGGCACACGTTAATGTTTTCTCACGTAGAATCCATCTTTGAAACGGATCATCTTTTGGCATAGTTTGTGATATCGTCGTCGTAACTCGACTATCCAAACTGGAGCCTCTGGTGACTGAAGAGCAGGAGTAAATAACGCTAATATTGGTGCTGGAGCCTACGAGTTTAGGTCGGGTCGAGAACTTTTAAACCTTGCCGCGCGGGATTTTTCTGACCCAGTCGTTCGTGGGACCGTGCCTGGAGCGGAGGTCAGCGTGGATTTATCCGCAAAAGAAGAGAGCCAGTTAGTCGATAGCCGATAACAGTCGCGACACGATTACGAAGATGCACGACTGAGAATGGCCGAGGAACGGAAGATCGTTGGATAAACTCGATGAATACACGGCGTACCCAAAGAAATTTACACGTTCCATCGCGCGTTAATAGATATACGAACGTATCTGGATTCCACCGGCGTGTTTTGCATCTCAACGGTGCTTTTCGTCAAAGAAAATGCAGCCAAAGTCGGACGTATCAGCGTGGTCGCGTCTCGAAGTTCATTTTACTTCGCCTGAAAAGTTTTTAGCCTAACATAGACATAGGTAACTTTTAAGTCAATACACTTTTCCCAACAGAGTTGTAACCCTTTCAACCCATCCAAGTAGTAGTTGGCGTCTTGCCTTGCAAAATAGGCGTTCACGTATGAGATGACCTCCTCGTTCGATGGGAATCTCTGTCCTCCATACGATATTTTAAGCTTAGGAAAGAGGAACAAGTCGCTAGCAGATCTGATTAATACAGTGGGTGGTGAATCAATTCGAAACGTAATTCGTGAATTTTGGCCATGCTAGCTTATCAAGTAATGACGCGTGA